AGCCTGGCGGGCATTGCAGAGCCCGGCACGGTACGGATTGGTGCCGTGCCGAGACCCTGGCAGGCATTGCAGAGCCCTGTAAGGTACGGATTGGTGCCGTACCGAGTCCCTGGCGGGCATTGCAGAGCCCGGCATGGTACGGATTGCCGCCGTGCCGAGTCCCGAGCTCAGCAACACACGCTGGAGCCATGAATCAAACCTGGTCATGTGACGGAGGGGAGGTGCTGGGCTGGCTCGCAGCCAGTGGCAGGAGCTGATGGGTGGAACGAACGGGGCATAAAAAGACTAACATGACTAACGGGTCCTGGATGCGTGCTGCCTTCCTTTGGATCCACGGGAATGTGGGCTCTGGCAGTTCTGCAGCTCCACCGGCCTCTTGCCTGACACTGCAACTGCTGCTCACAAAGTAGAACCCTGCTGCTCTTTGGTAGGAAGGATAGAGAAAGAACATGGCCTGCATTTTGAAGGTAAATCTCTATCTGTTGCTTGAATGCATTGTTAGAGAGCCCCTCGCCACTCAGAGGCGTGGATTTGGTATGGTCCTAATGCATCTTCGTTGTCTTTTTGAGTCCTGGCTTTGTTTGGCAAATGAATATGGAGAGATTCTGCAACGCACAGCTGTGCTCTGCTTCCCTCTGCCATTCTTTCTCTTTTCCCTGCATTGTCAGAACTGTGAGCTAGCGGGGAGAGAAGTGCGTACTGATCATGGGAGGGGGGAGAGGGGCTCTGGCTTGTCTCAGCTTTGTGTACGCTGGATTCCTTCAGGAGCAATAGCATTTGGGCAGCAGACTTCCAGCACAAAGGACAAAACGGGCAACTTATTTTGTTTTTCCACATGCAGCATTTACTTACTGCTCTTAAAGCAACGGCTGCAGATGAGCACAGCTATCCCAGCTGCCCCTTAAGCACACACTCCCCTGCTGAATCTGCTCCAGACCCACATGCTCCACACAATTACACTCAGTATTCAACCGAATTTTCTAATTAAGCAACCTCTTTGATAGCGGGTTTCCCCCCTTCATGCCAGCAAATACAAGCATAAACTTACCGTGTGATCACATGCTTTCTTCAGCCTGCTTCCCTCACCCAGGTAAAACTGTTTGGAGCCCGCATGGCACGGAGATGGAGGGAGCATCCCAGCGCTGGGATTGAATGGCGGGGAGGAGGCGGAAGTGCGCTCAGCCGGGAGCGGGCAGCGTTTGTGCCCCTGGCGCTGGCACCGGCGGCGAGTGCCTGTCCTGTGCCTGCCCTCCCAGGGCTCACATGCACAGCCCTTTGGTACCTGGTCTGCTTCAGATCCGTGTGTTAACCTAGTCTGCTTCAGATCTGTTTGTTAACCTGGTCTGTTTCAGTTCCGTTTGCACCTTCCTTGCTGCTTTCTATGCATACCTTGTGTGTGTTTGCACTCTGTTTCTTTCAGCAAGTAAAACTGATCTGTGAGTTGTTATTTGCGATCTGATCTTCTGGCATGGAGCTGATTATCTCAAACTTTGCGATGGCCTGTCATAGGAGTTGCTTTCAGTGTGTTAGCAAGGTGGATAAATTGCAAAACTTTAAAACAACCTTGGGATAATGAACATTTAGGTGTCTCTATGAATCCAGTCCTTAGCACTACTTTTGGGCATTCAGTTTTGAAAAAAACTTATTATTTTGCTGCACTCTTTTCCCCATTCATTCATCCATTCATTAATTCTCAACTAATGAGTCTATGGTACATGGATGTTTTTTGTGTTGTCTGTCTTGTGGGTTGTGGTAGCTTATGTTAATAAATCTGGCCAAGTCTGCTGCAAGTGCAGAAACTTCCCTGAACTAGCAGGTTCTGCTTGGAGATAGGTGATAACTCTGCACTAGCAGGTTCTGCTTGGAGTTAGGTGATAACAAACTCCTTTAGTCAGCAGTAATGCAGCTCAGAGTTGAGATTTGAGATGAGAAGATGTGAGCTCTGTGAATGGAGCCTGGTTTCGCAAAGATAAGCACGTGCATTCCTGTTTAAACACTCCCTATGTGACTTTGGTTGGATCTGCCAGTGATCCAGAAAACCAGAATTTCTTATTTTATAAAAATTCTGTGGCAAGATCACATGCAAAATCTTCCTTTTGGCCATAAGAGTTAAGTAAGAAGCCTTTTACAAGAAAACTCCAGTGTCTCTCTTGCTCTCCTAATTGTTTCCTCTGCAGTCTGGTGACACAGCCTGCCACAAGCATGACTGGGAGTTTGAATTATAATGCAATAAAAACCTTCTGTTTGCCTGGGCCAAGAACTCCATTTGGTTGTTATTCTGATGATTAAATCAATAGATTAATTGGTATTCCTTGACAGACAGCCCTCTTCCAGCTTAATTCTTAATCTTGTTAAAACAGGCAGGTGCAAGGATAAAAAGTGAAACAGATATGAGAAGATTAGCATTGCCATAAGGCAAGCTGGATTTTCTCTGACAAACATCCCGCAGGAGTAATTTAAATGTCTAGCTCAAGATACTTACTTGTGTATAAGTTTTTAATGTAATGTCTAAAGCTTTTTCCCTAACAAAGAAATTCAAAATATTATATAACATGACATTAGGCTCATTCCTTCCTGAAAATATAAACCTGTTAGCTACACCCTTCCCTTTGCCTGGGGTTTGCTTGTGTGGAAACAGGAAAAAAACCTCCAGAAATCTGTAGGTATGCATTTGAAATAAGTGGTTGCGCAGTGGATGGGAAGCCAGAACAGCTGTGTGTCCTTTGCACTTCAGCCCTGAGTGTCTCTCTGACTCTGCCCTGTGGCTTGCCCTCCTCTCTTCCTGGATTTTTAACCCCCTGACAAAGATGTTGAGACTTGCTGAATGTTGGAGTTCCATGTGAGTGAGAGTTTAATATAAATGAGATTGGATAGAGGTGTCTGTAAAGTGCAAAGATCAGGGGTGGTGGTTAATAATTACCTGTAGTTACTTGGAGTGGGTATGAGTGTGTTACAAGGGGGTGTCACCTCTAGATATGAGCATCTCCTTGTACGCTGACTACTGCATGAAATAATCTCTGTGTGCAGCCTGTGCAAAAATTATTCTCCCTGAGGGTGCCTGCTGTCTGCCTGGTGTTTGTTGTGCACTCTTCCTAGGTAAGAGTGATGGGGATGTTACTGATGTTATGTGGCTCCAGAAACTTTACCTTCTAGTCAGTAGTGAGGCATTCTCAGTAAAACCAGTGAAATTGTTATTTTGAGGCATTCTCTCCTCTGTTAAAGAAAAGCAGGGAAAGATGCAAGTTCTAAAGTGCGTGTTGTGTTTTTATTTTCTCTGTCATGACTTTAAAAACATGCCAAGTAGCTGAGTGAAGTGTAGGCACTTTTTGGAAGCAAACAGTTGATCTTATGCTGGTTGCTATGGTAGCTGCATGTCACCTTGCCAGCCACTAGATTAGCAGTGATTACTAGTTATGCAGTCACTCCTGTCCCTAATGATATTCAAGTCCCTAAGTTCCACTAGATCTGCCAGTCACTCTTGAAGATGAGGACAGATTTCACACAATAAATTACTTCCTACTCCACTTCCTGCATAATCGAAAAATAATACTTCAAAGTATGTGTCATTTTATGGTAAACACAGCATGAATGATAACACTCCGTAAAACCATGATATCCCCCTGTGAAGACTAGACCCTTATATTTTAAAGCAAATAGGCCTGGTAACTTAGTTGGCACATGCTGCACTTTGCAGGAGATTGTATCTGACCCTGTCCCCAAACTCTTCTTTTTGAATGGAAGTTTTGAAGATGATGATGGTGATGGGTTATGTTGTCATCCGAGTACAATTTTCACTGGGTAGGCTTCATGTGATAGAGTTTAATAAACAAAATCTGAGTGTGATGGGCCTGTACAGTGAGTGCTAAGCATGAAATCTATGAAGACACTTCCTTCTGGTTTGTGTGCTGTGTGTTTGCTGTGCAGTGAACAACAGAGGTTTCATGTGCCTGGGGGCAGATGTGACCTTCCATCACCGGGGATCACAAACCTTCAGCGGAACTCTGTGGTCTAAATGTTATTTGCATAATGTGAGGTGATGTTCTTATTAACACAGCTGATTGAGGGTCCTCTCAAAGTGAGCAGGTGGCCAACTAAAATTTATAGACTTTTTAATATTTTAAAGATTGAAAGAACTATTTTGCAAAGCATAACTTACAGGTTTCAAACAAACAAAACCCTTCAGCACAGGCTTGTGACTCTTCTGCAGGATGCTGTCAAAGTTGACAGTACCTGTGTGTTTATCTTCAGTTCTTTTACTTGCTTCCTCTCCGTGCTTATCTCCACTGGCTTAATTAAATTTGCAGGTTGTATTTTTCCCTTAGTGCACATAGTGAACTGTTTTTGGCAGGAATTTTCTTTTGGAGTTTTTTCTGAGTGTTCAATGGCCTATGTCTGATTGGGGTCTTCAGACACTGCAGTAATACAGATAATATTACTATCTACAGGCATGTGCTCCATCTGCACTTTTGAGACTAAAATAGCAAAGCTGAACTCATTACATTTAATTTTTCACCCTGGCGAGTAGCTGTTCAGAGGGGAGAGACAGAAGGTCTGAAAGCATCTGATCTCAGTGTTTGGATGCTTGTAATCTTAGGTATTTAGTTATTAATTTGAATTTTTTTTAACCTCTGTGTTCATGACAATGAGTGTAGCTATTTCCTCTGAAGTTTCTATATCATCAAAAGCGTGCTCTCTGTTTCAGTCTGCTCTGTTGTGCAGGGTGTGCTGTGAGGCTCACCATAACTCCATTCTCTACTGGAGATTTGCAGGATGCAAGCATTTCCATAGACTTGACCTCTATATCTTGCTTAAATCAGGTCCAGGATAATTCACATTCTGCCTTGACTGTTAAATTGACTGCAGCAGTGTTTATGCATGGTATCCATCCGTTCTCCTGTGCTGAGAGTTGTGCTTGGATCCTCTTTGATTCTCATGCTGTGCTCTTCCTCCTGCTGTGACAGGAGATGGAGAGATCCCTGGGAAAGGAGCAAGGGTGACCTCCCCTGCACATGGGAGATGCTGCACTGATGGGCCAATTCCCAGAATTTGCTGCAGGTTTGCTGTAATGTGAGCTCCTCCTCAGCCTGTCTTAACCTGACCAACAGCTCTGTGGGCTGCAGCACTTCTCTTGGAACTGGAATAGTTCCTAGGATGATATGGTTGTCTCTCTAGGAAGGGGAGGTGTAAATATGCAAAGGTGGCCCTAATGAGGTGTGCATAAATGAGCTGGAAAGTAGTAGGTGGATGCAACAAAGAGTTACAGAGAAAAATCAGGATTTCTGGATAATAACACATTTCCTTGTGGATCACTCCATGCTTATTTGTTATGGGTCAATGTTCCCAATCCTTTTTCACCTCACCCAACAAAACTGGCAAAACTTCATTTCTAATTCTTTCAAAAACTCCTTCTTCATTGGATATTTCTATTTTAAATAGATTTCTTACAATCACACTGTTTCTAAACAAGATACTTCTTTTTTTTGGTGGTTCTACATTATTTACCTCTAAATTGCTCCAAAGTGAATGCAGCTGCATTAATGAATGCCAGTGTGCAGGGCTGGGATTTGCTCTATCATGGTCCAGTGGTGCTTAATTACCATGTGAGATTTTATGGAGTGCAGTATATGGAATTTTGTAATGTGCTTTTTGTTATGTTCATTTCTTGAAAATTTAAGGAAAATTAAATTCTGAGAAGTATAGAACTACTTTTCACTCTCACTTGCAATGACATTAAACTAATCATACTTTAAGGGCAATCTATTAGCTCCCTCCCAGAAAGAGACAGCATCTAGTCAGTCGAGTCATCCAGGGGGACTTGCTTTGGTTGAATGAATTTCCTTTTGATGCCCATGTAGCTGAACCAAGAAAACCTCCAGTTTTCAGCACGCTTCAGTTGGTTTAAAACTGGAGATTTGTGTCTGACTTGGAGGTGTGAAAACTAAAACCACAAAACCAGCATGAAGTTATGATGTGCCTTATACACTCAAGTAGTTATTTGATAAAGCAATAATGGAGAAAGGCTTTTGTCTTGCGTTTCATCTTCAAACAATGAAGTCTGTGTCCCCCAGACATTTGTTCCCACCTAACCAGGGGCATGCTGTCTTTATGGGCTGTTTGAGCAGCCCTGGTTTAAGGAAAGGTGTCCCTGCCCAAATTGATTTGGCCAAATTGCCCAGTTGATTCTGTGATTATCAGGGGTATGAAAT